GAAGGGGAAGGGGAAGGGGAAGGGGAAGGCTTTTATTATCTTACTGTCCTTTCATAAAAACATTACTTAAACTTCAGATTTAAGAGAGACAGATGTGATTATAAAGGGTCAAGATATTTACTGAACAGGCACAGCAGTAAAATGGGTTGTCAGGACAGGGTCACTGCCGAGTTAGCTCCAGGTCTGCATGAAATGACTCAGGCCTCTGCAAATGCTGTCAGGAGGGACATACTGTAAGTGTGACCTTTGGATGCTTCACACAGGAGTAGGTTTGCTCCCCTCATTGTGGTGCTAGGGAGGACTCTGAAGCCTGCCTGGTTTGGTGATGCAGTGATTTGCCTGGCTCACCAATGTCAACACAATGCACACCCTGTTTTTAATCTGAACCCGTGTGGGGAGCTGGGACAGCAGAAGATAAGACACAGCTGATCCAAGGAATTTTCTTCACTGGTACTCAGAATAAATGGTATGAAAACAAAGCTACTTTCTCACCTGATGCTGCTTTCTGGATCTCCAGAGTTACGGATGTAGGAAGACACTGCATGAGCAAGCAGATTTCCTCATACGTCATCTTACTGACTGGGATACTGTTGATGGTGGTAATCTCATCTCCAACAGCCATCTTGCCCATTGATCCCTGATGCAATGACAGATTCAAGCAAATTATAAATACACATTAGAAGCTCTGCCACAGGGGCAAAAATTGCAGGGAAGCAATGGCTTATGAGCAACACTCCCTTTTTCACATGACTGCAGACCACAGATACCACAGCTGTCAGTTTGCTGACATGTAAATAAAGAGGAGACTCTGCTTTTGCCAGGAGATGAATTAATGATGAATCACAAACAGGAAGGTCAAAAGACCTGCTGGTTTCTCTGAGAGACCAGTATCAGGATGGAGGACATAGCCCCCTTCATTTAAATGAACTGGGATGAATCAGCGCCAGCTTCTTCAGGACTGTAACATTATCTATAATTTTTGCATTTCATGTAGGAATTATATTCCTGGTCACAACCTCCTGTTGGACCAGTGGGGCTCTCCTAAATAACTAAACTGGACAGGGACTGCGCTCTTAAAGTAAAGCCTAAGTATGTTTCTAAGCACCACACAATAAGTCAGAAAGAAATGCAGGAGCAGAACCCAAATCCCCAGCTCTCACAGCCCGATTCAAACTGCTACCTCCTACCCTAGTCCCCAATAATTAGATTAAAAATGCTGCATCCAGCTTTGTACACCGGGGTATCCTCCTTCCTCTTTCTGAACTTTTGCACATGAAGCAAGTATCCACACTAGTGTGTGATGTCTGAGATGCAGAAGAACAATTTGTTACTGGTACTACCATGGTGCTTGGCAATCCTGGCCAGCACCTAAGGCCTCCTAGTACCAGATTTCAATGACACAGGAACACATGCATATAAAATAATAGAGTGTAGTAAACATTTTTACCACCAAGATTTACTTATTTTGTCTTTGCCCTGGTAAAAAGAAAGGAAACAAAAGAACAATATTCCCTGAAAACTGTGACTACGAGTGGGGATGAATCCACCTCAGCAGATCTGCCTCTTGACCTTCTTAGCTTTGAAATCAGCCACGGTGCACTTCTGCATCAGAAATATTTCATTTAACAGCAGCTTCAGAATAATATGGGATGAGACGTTTTGCCCAGCAGAGACAAACATTTCCTTTGCACTTACCCTCAACAGATCACTTGCTTAATAATAATAATAATAATCATCATCATCACAATCATAATCATCATCCCTGCAAAGTGAAAGTAAATCACAACAAGAAAACCAAACTTAAGAATTTACCATTTCTGCTGCTCCGCCTGGCCGCAGCCCTGTGACAACAACCTTTAATGGCATGGCCTGGATTTCCAAATCCAGGCCAAATGACTCATGCTCATTGCGAACAAGAGTGACTATTTCACCCTGGCTCTGCCCAGCGTCATTGGGTGCTTCACACTTCTTGCTGTGAGGGAGTGTTCTCGCAACAGGCTTGTTGTAAGAGCCATGCTCCTCCGTCCTCTGTCTCTGAAGGCTTCGGCACTCAGTGCTCATCATGCTTTTCACTCTTGTGACAGCTCTGTGCTCAAGTTTTGGAGATCTCTTAGATTCGAGTTGTGCTTCCCGGAGCTCCTTCAGACTCAGGCTGCCAAGACGAACTTCTGGCACACTTGAGTAATCGAATGCTATGATGGGGAAGAAAGGAGAGTCAATTTGCTCCAGTGTGCTGTCTGCAGACTCCATGGAGGTGCTGAAGACAGGGGAAGACATCTCTGTGCCACTGTATCTAGGTGACTCACTGTTCTGGCTGTCATCATCGATTTCTACAGACGAAGTTGTAATGACAATGCCAGCATCCTCCTGGCTCTTGGCCCTCTGGCTTCTTTGCAAGTGGGAACTTTCATCGTCATCACTAACGTCACCGTCATAGAAAACAACCCTCCTCTGTCGATGAAACGGGCTGCGGGCAGATTTGGGGCTGTCGCTGAGGATGCCAGGTCGGACAGACTCCACAGGCTTGTTGTGAAGGCTGGACGATCTCCCACTAGCTGGAGAAGCCGGACCATTTGCTTTTGCCACTCCTGCTTCTCTAGCAGCTAGAAAAAAAAGAAGTTATACTTAATTGCATTTACAGATGCTTTTTCATACCATTCATCTGATTGCAGCGGAGTACGAGTGGCTCTGTTTGCAGGGGAAGCTTAACCTCTCCTCACAAAGCAAAAACTAGGTTTTTCATGTCCTCCCTCTAACTAAAGTAAACAGCAAGAGGGACAGCAGATAATTCTACAATTTATGGGTAATTCCCAAAATCAGTTCATAGCACATCTGGTTCTATTTTCAGTTTACATGTAAATTATGACTATGACCCAAAGAAGAAAGGGATGCAAATTCACATGAGTATTTTACTTTAAACAACAGAATTTCTTTCACATTTTGCTTAAATCTGTGCTGAGGATTGCCTGCATCAACTTATAGAGCATGAAAAGTGCTTTCCTGAACAAAGACACAAGCACATGACAATCAGTTTCAAATTAAAGACTAATAAATCCAAAAACCCTTTACACATCCCTCATATAAAGAACTGCATCTTATTTTGTAGAAAGTTTTTTTTGGCTTTGCTTTGTTTTGTGGGTATTTTAAAATGTAAAGATGCTTTTAAGCTTTAAATAATGAATTTGCAGAGAAAAATAAGCTGTAGGCAAAGACATTACTTGAGAAGCATAGGAAAGGGAAAACAAATGCAATATCCTTTGAATTTGAGGTCAGGTGCATGTCAGTAAGGAAATGTAAGATTCTTTCAGTCAATTACTATGGGTAGAAATACACATATGCAAAATATCTGATATCAAATTGAACATTTTATTGTTTTTACACTGCTGTATGTGACATTTTGAAATTGTGTATTTGAGATAGTTATGAACACTTTCATTTAAATGGAATCAATCATACGATCATCAGTCATTTAAAAAAAACCCCAAACCTGCAGTGCTGTCAATCTAGCTTTGGCCAAACCAATCAAATAAAGTCATTTTCACATAATCAGAGCAGCAATTTTGACAAAATACCACGGCAACGGGCATTTATGTACATTGTTGTAAACTCCTTCCATTTTCCAGAATTTCATATGATCAGCACTGGCTTGCACTACACTGACAGGCATTTCTTATCAACACAGGAATCACTGCAGCTCTCCTGTAAAGCAAAGCTGCGCCCAGTGACTCTCCCCCCATTAGCCAAAGGACTAGACACATTTCCGTCTCTTACTCAGGTTGCCAGGAAGAAGAGAGCCATCATCCAACAAACTGTTTCTGTTCTTTTGACGGAGCTGCTCTTCGTCACAGGAGCCAGTTACAGCATCAGAAAACGGGAGCTGGCTCGTACCATCGTGCGAGAAGTACTGGGAAAGCTCTGCCTCGGAGCTGACAGATCCCTGCTGAAAAGAAGTAAGCCTGGTGACCAGCTGTCATCGATGCTTAAAGCCCCTGTCTGCATGCAAGCACCACAAACTCCACTCACATTGCCATGTTTATGAAAGAAGTTTAGAGCCAATTTTTAAAATAGAGGACTTGTCAGTATATTGAGAACCAAACTGTCTAACTTGGATGGCTGAAATGCTGCACATTAATACATTTTTACCCAGTATAATAAATAAATAAAGAATTCCAAACCCCAAGCAGATGTGGTTCAATGCAGAAACAAGGGATGAAACTATTAACTTGTGTAATTCCCTTTATACACCTTCTGCACTGAGAGAAGAGAAGGATTTGTTTGGATGGCTTCTTTGACCTTCCCAGGAAAATGAGAGACTTTTCCACTGCAATGGCTATATAGAGAGACCAAGCGCTCAGTCTTCTGCCCACAAGCTCAGCTCTTTCCTAACTTTGTCTGTGTGTCCCAGAGAGCAGGGGTGCCTTCAAGGTGACAGGAGGTTGGACCCCACAGCTTTCTCTACCGTGTTTTGCACATCACTCCCAAAGGCTACAGCCACACAGACAAACAGGAGGTTGCTGCTGTCACCATTTAAATGTGTGACGTTAAGAAACAAAGCCTTTTATGGAGCCCATGTGACAGGGAAGAAGCAAAGAGGTTTAGTTTTGAACTCCTCGATCAAGCACAAGTTTCAGTAAAAGCAATCAAGCAAGAGTTTCAGTAAAAGCTGAATTTGAAGCAGACGCTGTTTCTACATCTAATCCTTTTACCCGGCTTGCTGGCTCCAGGAAGCGTTTCATAGTCCAGCTGAGGGGAGATGAGGTCTCTCCTTGTTTGGCCTTCATACTGGGAGATGGGCTTTTTTGTACAGCTCCTGTTAAACACAGCTTAGTTAGATGCCAAAACTTAAAGTTATGGTCCATATATCCAAACAAGCTCCTGATTCACCTTCTGAGTTGGGGGCTGCATTTAATCCCACTTATGTGAATTGCTTTGCTAAAGTGAGATTTATTTAACATTTCGTAAGCGCTCACTCAGATCAGGCAAAACATTATTACAGAAACACGTTATGCCAGCCAGGACAGAGCTATGAACAAGCGATGAGCAGGAGATGGTCTTCCTCACCCACTGGAGCATGCTACTGACTAGGTGCAACCTCAAAAGACAAATAAGCAGTTACTGGCAAGGTCTACTTCAAAAAAGGTCTTAGATGACACAGATATAAAGAGGATGATTACAAATTTAACATTTCTGTCTAAAAATCACCTTACTAGTCACTCTGTCATTCTGCTTTCATCTAGAAGATTTTAGGAAGTGCTATGCCTGGAGTTCAAAAATGTCAGACAAATGCCAGAGCACACATTCTGACATGACCTCAAATGGAATGAAAACATATAGTCCAGTATGCAATATCTGGACTTTTTCAAATGGACACAATGATACTTTCTCTTTTGTTTTTTTTTTTCTTTTTTTGGCCATCTACATGGCTAAATGTACACA